TCTTTGAAAATATTTAAAGGAAAAATCCTATAGTCAAAAAAATTTTCCTCTCATATTTTCATATTATGGGACTGTTTAAAAATCATAGTAAAATTAAAGTGCAAGTTGTATCAAAGTGCATCAAGTGCAGGATGCCAAACCTTTATAAATCACCTGAGCTTTTTTAAGAAACCACATGGACTTCTTGTATCCAGCCTTGGCCTTTCTCTATGCCAGAGCTATGCTGTATTTATTGTTGTGCAAAATAACAAGCATTTTAATGTTGAGGGGAAATGTATTTATTACCAAGTTTCTTAAAAGAATAATGTTAATTTTATTACTGTTTTCTATCTAATATCTTTTTCAGATATGCAAGTTTTTACTTACATGCCTTGTAATAAAATAAATAAAATATATGACTGCCTTTGAGTCTCATTGGGAAATCCCTAAGAATTTTTTCAAGTTGACAAAATATTTTGAATGCTGGGCAAGATTCCTACATGAAAAGTACAGCGAGGATTCCTTATATCTCTGAACACAGGCTACTTAGCAACCTAGGATCACAAAGCAAGAATTACCCGGAGCCTCAAAGCTACAAGCACATGCTATCCCTCATGTGCTAATGGGGTTGTGGTGACAGAGATAAAAATAAATCATTCCTAAAAAAGGTATTTGGCCTTAAGCCTGAAAATGCTTTAGAAATGCAGATCAGTACCGTGACCCTAATTTTGGAGACGAAAAGAAGAGAAAGGCTACATTCAGGGACAGAAGGCAGGTAGCTGGCATGGTGTGTGCCTTAATCCTCAATTACTGTTGGGTGTAATTGTGTTATTTTCCTCCTGACTATGCTGGGTTTTGTGGGCACACCACAGAGTTCAAGGCAGAGGTACAGTCATTACATTTTGCCTGCAGATGGCTCAGAAAAGCCAAATCTCCAGCCCAGCAGCTCATCTTCCATGATGATGAAGGCAATGAATTGCAACACTAATAAGGTAAGAATTGGGTTCCCCATCTTGGGGTGTGTGGCTTTCACGCACCAAATGCTCTGGAAAGGAGTGAGCTTGCTGAGTGGTTGCCCAAAATTGCCTCTGTTGAGGGGATGACTTTTAGCAGTTCTCTAGGGGTAAAATACCACGTTGCAGGATGTCTCTGCACTTGTGTGGCATTCCAATCTCCCTGGAAGGGAATTCCTGATCTAGAATAAACCATTGGCAAGAACAGAAAACAACAATTTGAACAGAGCACAGACAAGATCCCTGTCACTGGATTTTGAGTGAATGCTTTTGAGTTGTCAGCATGCAACTTAAGGTCGACCCAGAGCAGTCTACAGAATGATACTCACTCCAATAGCAGTTTTCAGAACTTTTAAATGCTCAGAACCTTTTCCCCATTAAAGAATGAAAAAAAGTCACACAAATTAAACAATTTTTTAAGAACTGAAAGTATAGCAGAACACGACCAGCACATTTCCTTAGTCTGTTCTGTGTCTGTCAAGCTATGGACCCAACAAATCTCAACCAAGGAGGTTTTGAAGAAGTATAAAACATTCATGTTGATCATACAGCCTTTAGAGGTAAAAGCCATACATGTTCACAACATCACTGGATGCACAGATGGTGTAATAAAAATTTGGAGTTACCTAGTAAGTTTTCATGCCCTCATTCATCTCCTTCCTTTCCTTCCCAGGATAACAAAATTTTCTTCTAAAACACATGATTTTTTAAAGACAGCCCCCCCCCCCCCAATGTGGTAGGCCCATTCCCCAGAGCTGTCACAAAGAGCCATGCGGTGGTCATGCACAGCATGCCATATCACCACGTTTTTCCCATGGCCACGGGGAACACGCATCACTGGAAGTCTGTCTCCTGGGGCTGCTGCTGGACCAGGGCTGCTCCCTCTGAATAGCGCGGCATTGCCTCTGGACCAAAACAATTTGAAGAGCTGCCTCCACCTTGCATGTCCCAGTCAACCTCCTGCTGGACCTCTTGGTCCACCCTGCAGGCTCCTGGCTTGCCCTGAGCTTTCAGGGAGAGCATGGAGGAAGCTGTGGGGTGAAGAACCACCAGCAACAGCACCCCCTCCATGGAGCTGTTGCTTCAGTTTGCTCAGACACCGTCAGGGCGTGTTACTGTCCAGCCTCTGGATATGGAGTGAGAGAGTTGGTGCTGAGCATCCACGCTCAGTGTGTTTCAGGGCTTTTCTTGCTTTGGCCCCGGTCTAGCCTGGTCCTGTGGACTAAACGTCCACCTGGGACTGCAATGCCTGAGTTGCACTGCTGAAGGGCACCGTGAGTTTCACATGAAAGGGACCTTGGTCATCTGCTGTGATCTACATGGCTGCAGCAAGCTGGGCACAGAGGTAGGGCCAGGTCTTTCTTCTGCAGCTTATGAGATGAATCTGAGTCATGGTTTTAGCTGATCATCACCAGAGTATCAAATACAGAAATGCTTACTATATATAACAGTTAGTGTACCTGGAATGACTAATTAATACCAATTTAATCTGGAATGCTGACATTTCAAACCCTTAATATCCACAGTCCCTCTGTTCATCTCAGATGTGAGTGTCCAAAACTGTGGAGTGGATCAATCAGCGATTCTAATCACTGCCCTAGCTATTTATTAAGTCAGGGCTACAATGACAAATCCTAATGTGATAATTACAACGTCGGCCCCAGAGATCTGGCAGTAGCTGTGGAATACGTGAGTCACAGCAGTGAGTGCACCAAGGCCAAAATGGCAAAACTCACGGAGTCCAAATAAAATAAAATAAATACAGCAAACAAAAAAAAGTCTAGGAACACACAACATGCCAATTATAGCTTAATAGCTGTTATAAAAAATCTTTTTAGGAAGATAGATCAGATCAGCAAGAGGAATTAGGGGGGCATGTCCAGCTTTAATTAATCTAATCATGACAGATTAACTGCAAGAAGAAAGTTTTACTTGTTCTTTGGAACAAAACTACGCGAAGGAATTATTCATTATTATGATGCTGTGTGGATTTACAGGGTACTATGTGCTTTTGGATTTGGGAGAATTATCGATAAAATTTAGCCAATAAAAGACAGACATATTGAATAAAATCAATAGATGCACTGTGGAGTTAACCCTCACATATACAAACCTTTCAGCATAACCCCTTGGAAAGCTTTAAAGACCATGGACCAGAGTTCTCTCTCTTGGGCTATTTGGAGTGCAGATATAAATGGCAGGAAGGCCTCCTGACAGCAGCAGTCCCGGTGATGATAACGTGATCTATAGAAGGCTGCAGAAGGGTAAGGAAGCAGTTGATTTCTGTGCAGTATTGCCTCTGTGATCAGCTACAGCTCCTCCTTCTCTCTGGGAAGGCTTTTTAGAGAAAGCTGTGGCACCCAGAGAGGAGACGAGGTTGCTAAGGAGTACTAATGGTGTTTTACTGGTGAGATCCCTGGACTAATAAATTCTTGAATCTCCAAAAGTCAAGCCTGCAACTCATTCCTTGCAATGCCTCTGAAAACTGTAGAGCTGAACATATTGCCTAAATCATTCCCATGTCTGACCCGCCAGTGCAGGAGATAAAAACCAGCGAGAGCTGTGGGGCTGGTCCTCCTCTGACTCTCTTCTGGACTCACTAGAAACCATTGCTCAGCTAGGAGGGCAAATGCTGTGGGCTGTGGTGGTGTTCAGCGCACTGCTGGTGTTTAACAGATGTGGCTTCCAGATGCACAAAATAGTATTTAATGAGAACTGTCCACCTTGCCTGCAGTGCCCATCAGTTCTGGTTCAGTGGGGTAGCACAGGACTAACAGGGCAGGACAAAACGTGGGTTCTTGTCCACTTGTAGGATTCATGCAACGCTAAGCGTGTGGTAGCACCCAAGGCACACGTGGCATCCTGTGTTAAAATGATACTAAATGTCATGTTGCTGGTCATGCTCCACCAGCACTTTTAAACGTGGCAGACTCCATGGGAGATTTATGTAAATGTAGCCTCCTCCAGCTGAAAAAGGGAACACCATGTTATGCTCTTCACTATGCTCCAGAAAGGCTGTGAAGCAGCCTTGCTCCTGCTGTTGCTTCCAGAAGGAACCATGGGCCAGTGACCTGTGGGTGTAGGGACCCAACATCGGGTAGGGACAGCTGCAGGAAACAGAGTGAATCCCAGCATCTGCCACGACCAGAGAACGTGTGATGTTAGCCTGCAGCCTGACACCCTCCCCACCTGCCCCCTCCTTGTGGTGCTCTCATCCCAGAAATCTCCCGCAGATGTTCTAGCAAGCCCGACCTCCTCTCTCAGTGATCACCTCACACAGGTGCCTGCAGTATTTCTGCATTTATCTTCTGTGATCACATTGGTAAGGTCATCAAAGTAATGGCTTTTTGCCTAGAGAGACTGAAAATCAGTGTACTTGTGATTTTAGCAATTTTGCTGCAACAGGTTCCCTGCTGTTATTGACAGTGAGGACAACACACCCATGTGAGAACACAACAGTCCATTGTGGCTCACTTTGCACTACCAGCACTGTCTCATCATCTGGTTAATAATTTGCTAAGAAAATTATTAGTGCAATGCACTTCCTCCAGGTTATGAAACTTACGCCTGAGTAATTTTAAAATTGAATGACTTGCTAAGTGGCAGTCATTTCTAAGCAGAGACTCTGCGTGTGTACTCAAAAGCCTCCAGTTTATACGGGTTGCCCGGAGTCGAACTCTGACTGCTCTTTGGGCCAACAGGAGAAAGGGAGGTGGGAATTTTCAATGGGGAAATTCAGACTGTCACATGGGTACACTG